AGTTCTCCTTTAAAGTGACACTAAGCTCTTGTAAAGAAAGCAATGTGCCAGTTAAATATAATATACAAACTGCCACCCTATGATTTGTTTCCAGGATCGGGCTTCCTAAATGGGTTTTACATTGGTAGATTCATGAACTGCCCATTCAATTATCGTAGGTGCTGTTCCTGAACTTCCTGCATTGCTTGCCTCAGACTACACAACCTGGAATTACTTGCACTGGCAGTCAGCAATGCGCACGTGCACCGGCCGGCATGCAGCAATGCGCATGCACCTCGGAACGCATTCAGCAATGCACACGTGCCCCAGCCATGAAGGAGGCTGTCTGCCTGTAATAGTGTAGTCCACAATTGGAATGCGCAAGGGAGGGTGGCTACGTTTGACCTACAGTAAGACCATGTAGGGCAAGCGTAGCCACACAAAGGAAGTGCACAGTCCTCATTTCTATTCTTATTCTTTATTGATACACACATAATCATGGCTAATGTAACATATTCATATAAGTTCTGGAGACGGTAAGGTATACTGCATCTATTTTTTAATTTGGGTTTAGTGTCACGTTAAATGTAATTTTTTTAAAGGCAAGCAGTGCAGGTCTCTGGATTTGACCAAGTGACAGCTTCCTGCAGGCAAAACAGTACAGCAAAACTCAGAAAGGTGCAAGAGAACCAGCACAAGTTCACAGGCTAACAAGGAGCATGCTGATAGGAAGAGAAAGCAGAGTGATTGAGAAATTAGCTCATCAGTGTGCTGCTTCTCCTCATTCATTTTCCAGTCACAGAGTGGGGATGGGACCTGTATAGTGAAACCTGAGCAGAGGAAGGTCAGGTCGCCTTCCCCCTCCCCTACCAGACAGGACTCTGTTGTGTGTCAGAGCTGGCAGGCAAAACGGCTCCCATATATATATATATATATATATTTTGTATGTGTTTTAGCTGCTTGGACTTCAGCTTTTAGATGATACAGTATTTACAAAGGGCTTGTTCACGCCAAATACAGACCAGATCTGCATGAGTTTCTGCACATCCAGTGCAGTGGGTTGTGCCGCGTTTTTGCTGTGTTTTTGCTGCGTTCCGGGCCGTTTTTGATTTAAAAAAAAATATGTATTTTTTTAGTTTAGAATGGGCTTTCATTGCGTTCCAGGGCATTTGCATGCATTTTTAATGCGTTTGCATGCGTTCCAGAGCAGGTAAAATAGGGCTTGCTGCAGTTTTTTTTACATGCTCTGGAACTGAACGCTGTGGTGTGAACTAGAGCCCAAAATACCATTAGATTACACGGGATCCAGTTTTGATCCGGTCTGTAACTGCTCTGCTCCTGGAACGCTCTTTGAACAAGGCCAAAGAGGTGAAAGTCAAAATGTTTTTAAGCTATTTCAAATGCTGATGAAATCACTTACAATGGATGATGCTCCTTGATGTTCAAAAGTTTTATCTTCCTGCAGAATCAACTGCTCCCCTGAGCTCCCTTGAGCATGGTCCCTGATATCCTGTTTTATGGTGACTCCTTTCCCTTGCAGGATCTTTGGAGCCACCCTTGTGTGTGTTAGTAAGCTGTGTGTGCCCCCATAAACACACAGACACAGTGAGCAGATACACTTTGCTTCACCCTGCTCCCCACTCCCCCATCTCTAAGCAAGTAGATGGATATCTGCTGGAGACTGCTCTTTCTCTTGTACTGGACAGGAAGTTCAGGGAAGTGGAGCAGAGAAAGTTGGAGTTGAACTGTTCTGAAACATGATGATTGTAAGCAGATTGAGCAGAAATGTAAAGCAATGCTTTGCTGGGCAATGGATATCTGTTTGATCTGGATTCATTATTGAGAGTTTAATACTACTTTAAGGGCTAGATCACACCAGATGCAGTTGTGATGCAGTCCGTTCAGTTTGGCAGCTGCATCCAAAATGCATCACAATGCTTTCCTATGGGATTTCCGGTGCCCTGTTCACACAAGTTCAGTCCGTTTCCGATTCAGTCAGAAAAAATATTGCTTGCCCTATTTTTGCTGCATCGGATTTCAACCGAACACATTAAAACGCGTCAAAATGCACGAAAACGCACTGGAACGCACCTAAAATCCCATTTTAAGCAAAAAGAAAGCAACCAAAAAAACATCAATCACGGTAGAATCGCGGTAAAATGTTCTGGTGTGAACTAGCCCTAAGTGTTTACCGTGTATATGAAGAAAACGACATATAAGACATCAGTATAAAAACATTACTTCTGCAAAACACTTTAGCAAATAGAGAATGTTAACAATACATGTATACGTTTTAGTGAAATGGAATGTTCCAATCCTATGTCTAGTGCTTCAAGTGCTGACACTCCAGATGCCACAAGTGGTCACTGGTCACGAGTGATGATGCCGGCACTTCTACAGGAACTAAAAGCAATGGTGTTATTATGCTGTCTCAGTAATACTGGAGTTTAAGAAACACATCTCAGGCTGCCCACTCCCTGCTCATAGCTTTGTGTACCTCACAAGGGGAATTAAAAGCAATTTTCTAATTATGATGCAAAGTGCATTACAATCCTTACATCAAACGTAATTGGTAAGATCCTTTTTAATCCATTAATAAAGACACTTATCCCCATTTGTTCCCATAATGCACTCATTGTTTCCTAAACCATTCCTAATAGCCCCAGACATTACAAAGTGACCATATACATGACATTATAGAAAGTGTTGAATCTTTAAAAATGTCACTGAAAAAGGCTGGGTTAACAACTGATTAATGGTTAGGAAGGTACTAATCCACATGTTCAGATCCACCCTGGATTGCTCTGATGCAACAGTTTACTGTCTATTCCATAGTGACACTATTTAAAAAAAAATAAAAAGAAGTAATATAACATTTAAAGCAGCAACATAAGCCTTTGTGCAATCTAGTGTTACATTTAAACTCCAGGCAGAGAAAGATCAGGTCCCCTCCCCTGCTGATCAGGGCTGTGCTGTGAAGCAGAGCTGTATAAATCTCAGGACTGGATGGAAGAAATACAAATGCCTTGGAAGCTCTCTTACAGCTGCTTGCCTGAAACTCCACTTTTAGACAGGCTAAATTATACCATACCATTAAAAACATATTAGCAGTGATAACACTAGTACATATACAGTATATACACACAAAGCTGTGCATTGAAAGAACAAATCTGTACAATGAAAGTACAATCACTGATATACCATGCACCAAATTATTGACAATGTAAAACTTGAAATGTCTGCAACCAAATCATATCATCTTTGGAAAATATTTAATGTGACACTAAACTCCTTAATTAGTTATACCTTAAAAATACATTCAAGTACGGTACCTTAACTATTAACAAAAATGTATCCTATTTGTGTATCACTCGGCTGTAGATCCTCAAATCATCTCTGAATTGGTGCTGACACTGTCCTTCCTTCTGGAGGGTGACTACTTTTGTTCCCCAAGGTCCCTGTGTGTATTGTAAAGAAGTCACCGCTCCAAGCTCATTCCCATGATGGACTACAATCTTAATACAAACGAGTAAACTAAACACGAGATTGTAGTCCATCACAGGAGTGAGCTTGGAGCGGTGGCTACTTTACAACACACACACAGGGACCATGGGGAACAAAAGCAGCCACCCTCCAGAAGGAAGGACAGTGTCAGCACCAATTCAGAGATGATCTGAGGATCTACAGCTGAGTGATACACAAATAAGGTACAGTATTGTTAATAGTTAAGGTACTTGAATGTATTTTTAAGGTTTAACTCCTGAGTTTGGTGTCAGTTTAAAGCCAAAAAATGGGGGGAAAAGATAATTTACAAATTGTTTGTAAATTACCACTAAAGAACTGTATTTTATGTGTGGAGGGCCGCTGCAAAGTATAACAATCCTACGTTGCAGCATGCCGGCTCCTATATATAACTCTCGGCTTCCAGGCACTGTGGGAGTGAGGGATGCGACTAAAGCAGTGAAGTGCTCCGGTTGCATCACCCGCCCCTCCTCAGTACTTGCCCATTCACAAAATAGCTTGTATTTTCCTCAAAGTATGCAAGGCATCCTGAGGTTGGAGGAAGAGATGATGTCATACCCATTTCCCCTTCTCTCCTCTTCCAATCACGGAACGCCTTATATTCCTTATGAGAAAATAAAAGGCATTTTGTTGATGGGCAAGCAGTGCCCAGAAGCCGAGAGTTTTGTGTAGGAGACAGCATGCTGCATTGTAAGATTGTTACTAGACTTTGCAGCCGCCCTCTACACATATCATACAGCATTTTATTGATAATATTCACACCCAGTGCTGTGTGCAAATGACAATATTTTCCCAGAGTTTAGCTTTAAAGCATTGTAGAATATCTTGTGTATTAAAACGCATGCAGTAAGTACACGATTTAGTCAAGTGATAATCTGTGTTGTCAGTTAACAGCATACACTGAGTGGCCAGTTTATTGTGACCACCTGACGTTTGTAGGCAAATTGGCTATAATTAGCTATAATTTCGCGCTGAAGTTGCTATAGGTGTCAGACCATCATAAATAGGGAAGCAGGTTGTTTACCACGACAGTAGAAGTGATTTTTTTCGGAAGATACGGGGAAACAACACGATTTACCAGCCTTTGAACGTGGGATGATTGTTGGCGCTCGGAGTCATGGAGCGAGTATGAGCAAAACAGCAGAATGCGTTAAATGTTCAAGAGCAGCTGTTGTTAAAGTGTTTAAAGACTGGACTGTGAGCCGAAAATCTGGGTCTGAACGTGCGAATTGTGGCCGCCAGCGACTAATCAATGTTAGGGCAGAACGGAGAGGGGCAAGACTGGTACAAGACAACAGAAGGGCAACAGTGCAGTGTCAGATTCCTCGCATCACCTTTCAACATCTCGTGGAGTCACGAGGCGGCCCAACAAAGTCATCTCGTGGAGTCATCTCGTGGCCCAATGAAGTACTGATGGGGTGGTCATAATAATCTGGCCACTCAGTGTATATTGCTTATGCAGCATTGCAGCATTAGATTTCCTTCACAAAGTTACTTACAGTTACTAGGTCCTCCATCGTACAATTTAGGAACTTTGGGATGGCGGACCTTAATTGTAAATGCTGCAGTGTGTCCACTTGTCTGAAACTGAACTGAAATGTAAAAACAGAAAAATTTGTTACAGCGTTTATAGTAAACCGTGTAGAGAAGCAATGGGAAATAAATGACGGAAAAATGTGTTTAGCTAAAGGAGAAATCCAAAATCTATTTATATGCCTAAGCAGAACTAAAGCCTAAACTTTTTTTTTAGTTTTGGATAGAGTAAGGGAGGGTTAAAACTAGAGGTGCACCAAAATGAAAAATTTCAAAACCGAAACGAAACCGAAATAAAAAAAATGTCAGTCCGAAACCAAAAATGTTTTTTATTTTAACTTTTTCAAATTTTTAAATATTGTATTTTTTATAAACTTTGTAATTTTTTAATGTCAATGAGAGCCAGCAGCGGCGGTGGAGGAGGCCGGACCCGTCAGTGGTCGACAGCAGGGGAGGAGGAGGGGCCCGGTGGCGGAGAAGGAGGCGGGCCGGGCAACTGAGGAGGGGGGGCCCATCAGCGAGAATGGAGGAAGAGGAGGCGGACAGGTAAGGAGTGCGACCAGCCCACATGAGGGTGACCCTGCAGAGCCCACCATAGAGAGTCTATGGTGGGCTTTGTAGGATCTCAAATGGGCTCTGCAAGGGGTATAACTAGAAATCACAGGGTCCCATACAAAATTTTGCTATGGGGCCCTGTGATTTCTAGTTACGCCCCTGATACTATGTCCTCAATTATGTACAATGTGCATGTGTATGTACTGCTCTCCTTCCTGACTCAATGTCACAGGAGGCTGAGCAAGCGGAGCTCAGCCTGCTGTGACAGCGCGGGCTGCCTCCACCCACACACCGCTCTGCCGATCTGTGAGGCTAAGCGGTGTGGGAGGAAAGATGCTGGTCGTTCACAGCGCTCTCCTCCCGTAGCGCTCAGCCGGCTGTCACAGTTTCTCTCCTCCCCGCTGGGACACACAGCAGTGCCCAGTGGGGAGGAGAGAATAGGACGCACCGCTGTATCGGCCTGAAAATTGCACTTTCGGCATTATGCCAAAAGTGCCATTTTCAGCCAATGTGTCTCGGCGGCCAATATATCAGTGCATCCCTAGTTAAAACCCCTGTCAGCTTTTTCCCCCCATCTGTGTCCCATTGGGAAAATTTCACTTTACTTCCTGTCTGATAGCCTCAACAAAAGAGGACATTTTTCCTAAGTGAGGGAAACCTCTGGTGGTCAGCAATGGGTTGCCACAACTAGTATGCCAATTGGAAGCTTTTCCACCTATTTCTGTTCTGATGATAACCCGAAATTTGGGATTTTGATTCACTTTCAGTGATAACAGTCACTAGTACAAATAGAGAGGGTGCATCTCCCTAACAAGGACACAGTCATCAATAAAAACCTTGCACATGTTCTAACTCACTCTCTCCAAAAGTATAAAAAAAGTTTTTGCTTCAGTTGCACTTTAACCTTTGGGGTCTATATCCTCTATGGGCTATGGGCGCCAAAGTACAGCCAATGCACACAAAGCGATGATATTGAGCATCAAACAATCACACTCACTACCCTTCCTTTATTATAGAGGCTTGTTTTCACCTGCTGTGAATAGATTGGGATCAGTCGGTGCAGGTCCTACGGCAGCTTCTAATCAGAACAAGTATCACATAGTGCACACAACCTGAACTTGTTTATTAGAAAAGAATCAGCTGATCTGAACGCTGATACTCCTAATCAGCAAAGGCCACACAGCATAGAGAAGGTGAAGCCAGACTAGCAATGACATAGATAAAGATATCTTTCAGACTGATGTTATACAGCGAAGGCTTATGTCAATGTCCATAAGGAGTGGTTAGAAATCAAAGCATAGCTTATCACAGAAGTTGAAATATAAAGTGAGAGTAAACTGGGGAGTTAAATCTTAAAAATGCATTCTAGTGCCCTAACCATGAACAAAAATGTATCTTATTTGTGTAACACTCGGCTGTAGATCCTCAAATCATCTCTGAATTGGCGCTGACACTGTCCTTCATTCTGGAGGGTGGTTACTTTTGTTGCCCTGTTGACAGTGTCAGCATGAATTCAGAGATGATTTGAGGATCTACAGCTGAGAGTCACACAAATAAGATAGATTTTTGTTAATAGGTAAGGTACATGAATGCATTTTTAAGGTTTTACTCCTAAATGTAGTGTCACTTTACATACCAGTGTTGGAGCTGATAAAAGTGATATCTATGATATAGCTTTGCACAATGGCAACAGACTACAACACACTACAGTCTATAGTTGGGATTTCCCTGCATCATCATCGTCCCCCAGTCCTATTACTATATTATTTGTTAACCAGCAACACCACTCTCACACCTTTACATAAATAACATGCAATTGGTTGAAGATTAAATGCGGCTATGTAAACTGAAGTTTTTAATGGTGTAAAATGAATCAAGTCTCCTAAAGCTAAACCTTAACCTTTCTCCTCACCCTCAACACTTGATCCCTAACACTACACCCCTCCCCAATAACCCTAACATTTAAAATTACATTGTATCGAAAGCCAAAAACCTTTGGATTCATTTTTAAATTTAGAGTGGGGAAGAGTTAAAACCCCCTCAAAATATTATTGCTGATTGTGTCCCCTCTTTGTTTTTGTAACCACTGTCACCGGAAGTGAAAATCCAAACATTTAAATTGTCACAAGAATGGAAATAAAGTTCCAATATGGACACGTGTTGCAGTAACAAATGTCTTTGGAGAGGATGCGTCTTACTTCCTGTTTTGTCTACAGGATGGGAAGTAAAGGGAAATTTCCTTAATAGGATACAGAGGGCAAAACAAATCTCTTACAGGGGTTTTATCCCTCTCCTGTTTAAAATGTAAAAAAAGTGTCCCCAGATATACTTTTAATCCCAAAACACTTTTGCTTCATACTCACACTATTCTCCCTGTACTGGCAGGTCCCAAGCCAAAGTCATGCTGTACTAAGCCCTTATCTGCTTCAAATTTTGATGACTACACACAATCAGACTTTGCTGCATAAACTACCAAAATATAATGTACAAGAGGTAGGCAAATCTTTAACAAAGCCCTCATATTACATTATGTATGACCCTTGTATTAATATTCATGAAAATTGATTGAAATGACCAAACCAAATACTAGCATGCTAAGACCAAGGTCCACATTTCATGGGGTTTACGTGACAATATGATTTCCGTATGGACATATGATATACTTACCAATAGGGATGCACCGATATATCGGCCGCCGAAACATATTGTCCAAAAATGGCACTTTTGGCATAATGCCGAAAGAGCCATGTTTCGGCCTATACATCGGCGCATCCCTGGTTTCTTTTCTCCCGCTGGGCGCTGCTCTGTGTTCCAGCGGGGAGAAAAGAAAGTGACAGCCGGCCAAGCGCTGCAGGACGAGAGCGCTGTGAGCGGCTGGCGTCTCTCCTCCTACACCGCTCAGCCGCCTATCACAGTCCAGCAGAGCGGTGTGTGAGCGGAGACAGCCAGCTCTGTCACAGGATGCTGAGCTCACCTCCCTGCTCCGCTCGATCAGCCTCCTGTGACAGCGTGTCAGAGAGGAGAGCGAGCACAAACACTCAGCGATCAGTGAGTGTCTGTAGATAATTGAGGACATGGTATGTTAACTATATCCTCAATTATGAATGAATGGGAGTGATCTGCATCACCTCGTGTTCATTCATAGTTGTAGGTATAAACATACTATGTCCTCGTGTTATCAATGAACAGGAACACTCATGGAGGATTCCTGTTCATTGATAACAGGGGATACAGAAAAAGAGATAGAGGACTTTGTGTCCTAAATCTCTTTTTCTATTTTAAAAGGGAAACTTCAGGGGTCTGTTTAGACCCCCCAATATTTCCCTGAAGCCCCTAAAAGCAATGTAAAAAATCAAAATATTTAATGAAAAATGAAATAATAAATATAAAAAAATTAAAAAGTATATAAAAAAATAAATAAAAAATAAATAAAAATTAAATATTAAAAAGATTTTAAAAAAATTAAATAAAAAAACATTTTTGGTATCGGTTTCGGCCTGACAATTCTTTTTATTTCGGTTTCGTTTCGGTTTTAAAGTTTCCATTTCGGTGTACCTCTACTTACCAATATCTGCTGTATCTGGGTGAAAAATGGTGTTGGTATATGAAATTAGCTGGAGCTGGCGATTCAGATTGTCCAGAAGAGGGCTGGATAACGTGATCTGTTTTTCACTTGCACCTCTTATTGTCACCCCATCTACTTCTGCAGCCACATCAAATGTCCCAATTGCACCTGTGAGGCTCACCTGCACACACAAAACAAACAGGCTTACTGTACATTACATAATACATGGAACAAAGAATGTGATGAGACAGGTAATCATGGAACTTTGCCTATGTAAATAAAGCTGCCATGCTGTTTTTTTTTTTTACCCCTACTGAATTTTGAATAACCTCAGCACATGCCTGGGAAACAAGTCCCAAATATGAAGATTTTACACGTGCTTTACATTTAATAGAGGAGAAAATCACCAGCGATATCATTCAATATGTCCATTTATTGGACAAAGGGTCCCTTCCTCAGGGAAGAAAGGTCACGTCTTTCTGCCCTGAGGAAGGGACCCTGTGCGGTCTGGAAACGCTGGCTTTTATTATTTTGACATCTTTGTCCAATAAATGGACATATTGAATTATATCGCTGAGTGCTGGTGATTTTCTCCTCTACTTTGTGTCCGCACGGCGCCATCCGTAGTTGTCACTGTGAGCACCATCTTCTGTATAGGCCTGGACTGCTGTAAGGTATGCGGAGGGCTCCCCTATCTATCCACTTCTTTACATTTAATACACATGAATAGGTTAATGGGTTTGATGTACAAAAACTACTTTGAACATGAGCAGTTACTCATATCAACCACTTAGACTCTATGTTTTATCGTAAAGATTAAATACAATAATTGCTAGGAGTAGGTGCTCACTTTTTTGGCATTTTTCTTTCGCTCCAGGCTCTGTAAAAAGTCATATTCACTCAGTTAAGAATGATAGCAGCAGATACTGTAAACAGGATCCAAAATCTATGGTAGGGGTAGGCAACCTTGGCACTCCAGCTGTGGTGAAGCTACTATTCCCATCATTTATTTGCTTGTTGGAGTCATGCCTGTGGCTGTCAATGTCTTGCAATGCCCTATGGGACTTGAAGTTCCGCAGCTGGAGTGCCAAGATTGCTTACCCCTGAAACTAAACTAGGGAAACTAAAAGAGGTTGTTTAAAATGAATCCGTAGTTTGCCCATACAGGGCACAACAAGTTCACTAGAATGCCAGCCCCTACAATTGATTATACTAACTTTCACATTATTCCTGCTCTGTCTGCCCAGAGAATTGAAGTGACATACCTTAGCACTGGTTAAGTATGAGACTCATTCTCCTTCCTACTATGTGACAGCAATGGTGCTTGGTCATTAAAGAATGAGTTCTTAGACATGTGAAGCTCCAAGTTGCAACTTTGAGTTTACACAACTATTCTTCTCCTGGGTGGACTGCACCAGCAGGGGAAGGAAGGGAAGGCAGGCATAAGCAATATGTACAGTATTCTGGGTTGAATGGCACCTAGGGTTACTCAAAAGACTGAGGTACCTCATGGACCCAGCCCATAAGGAGGAATCACTATTTTGCCCTGCATTCACATACAATGATGCAGAGGACAGCACTGAGGTCATGGTAGCAGTGCTTTCTGCATCATCAAGGACCGCCAACTGCTGAAAGAAGATCCTAAAACATAGAGGACCATGAGCATCAGGTGGACAGCCTTCTAGAAAAAGTAGGTATAGAAAAAGAAAAGAAAAATATACAAAGGAGCCTATAAAGGGCTCAACTGGAGTCCAGGAGGATGCGCCATAAGTGGGCTTTAAGGGCTCACGAACATGGGCACCTTTCTATGAAACAAGTGAAATTGAGTATGCATTCAGGTTAAAAAGGCTGCATAATGTGTTTATGAGTAAGTTTCATTTGTTTTTGCATTTACATGGACTTGAACTCAGAAAAAAAAAAGTAATGATGTAAACATATGCTAATGTACATGAACCCAAATCTTTATTTAATTCATGTATTATAAAGTATATTTAAACTGTAGTTTGCAGCTCTAGTCTGATATCATAACTTATTATAATATAGTTATTCGTAGCTTTTTAAGTAGTGAGGATTGGTTAATAACTTTCTGTATTACCTTTATCTAAGGATTACATATCTAAGCTCTCTTTTTCAACATTTCCATTATATGTGTCATACATCATATTTTTATCATCATAGTTTCATGTACATCCTGAAAAGTATTTGCACATTCACTATTTCACTGACTGTCACAAAGGTCTGATTATACAATCCTACTGCCCATCATTGAAAACATCCTGTAGAATAGTACAGTTAGAACAATTTCTAAGAAAAAAAGTTATCTAGGCCGTCCTTACTTCCTGAGTGGAAATGAAAAAAACAAGAGTTCACATTTGCTTTCTTCAGGTGTAAAATTGTCATGAGTTACTTTTTTCCTTTTTTGAAGGTCTCAAAGTTAGTGTTGTTTAATAATGTACAGCTAACATGAGACATCCCTAAATCTCCCAATATATTTGTTGAATGCTTTTGATTTGCTGGCTCTTAATAGAAGAAAAGGAAATTGGCTGGGCTTGTAGCCAACTTTGTGTAAGCTCCAACATTGGCTTCACTTGCACATTATAATTTTGCTGTAATGTTTATTCCTAAAGCACTACAGTGCCCAGGCTATGGATATTAACCTACTTACATATTCTTAACAAGTAAAAGAGCTTTAAAACAAGCTTCCACTGACCTCTCTAGCTGCTTGTGCTGTTAAGAAATGTATTCTTAAAGATCCTCAAAGGTCACAACACAGAGTGTAAGGTCTCATTCATACAAGCAATTAGGGCCAATATGTGGCAAGAATCAGGGTATTCCTGCACCTACGGGTGTCTGGGGTCACTCATCCGTCTCTAACCACAAGTAACTGCTGGATGTGTCCATACATGCGAACAGCTGTTACCCAGTCATTGATTTGTACAGTCCGAGCGGCTGCAGCTGTCGACAACCACCTGAGACCCTATCTGCAGAAATGCACTGATTCTTGCCACATGTTGGCCCTAATAGCCCTAGTCAATGAGGACTCATGCACATAGGCATACTGAACTTTACAATGCAATGTGCGGTACCTTGCTGGCAGCAAGATCCTGCCTTTAGGTTGTCCAAACGTTGTATGCATGTAAAGTGAACAGCATTAATGCAGCCTATTGGTTGCTATGAGACAGACGATCATTGCTGCCCATTGTCCTTGGTTGCTAGGATGCAAACAGCTCATGTCACCTAGTGGACTTGGTTGCTAGGACGCAGATGACTCTTGCCACCTAGCATCCTTGGTTGCTAGGATACAGGCGGCTCTTGCTACCTAGCGTCCTTCCTTGTTAGGATGCAGGCAGCTCTACTGTACTCCAATAAAGTGCATTATCTCTGTACTCATGTAAACATTAGCACATCATACAATCTGTAGAGTGTAAAATACAGTCCATGCACTGGACCTTGAAAGCAGATTTTTTTTTCTTTATTTTTTACTCGGTTGAACACAGTTCCAGGTTACGTAGTTGCGTGCACTTGTATGTATAGGTCCATATAATTGAATGCAGCTGCATTAAGATCTGTGAAGAAATTCATGCATTAAGGATCTGAATGTAGTGTATTTTGTGTCTGTGTGCATGAGCCCTAAAGCAGGTTTCAGTTCTCTTTCTAACAGCTTAACACACCTGCTGGCTGTTTATGTGTTAAGATGCCCAGTTTCTGCACCAATAGGAAGTACCGTAATAGGAAATGAGCAAAGATTTCAGTGCCTGTGTTGTGAACTTGAATTTCTCCACAATGCCTATAACTACAGACATGTATAGGGGATTGTTTGAAAATGTAAATATTTAAGTGTGCATAGTCTGGGAACAAATTCACTTCAAGAGGTTGAATAAAGTCCATTTGAGCACTAGGTTTTATAGAACAGTGCTGATTCATACATATTTATCTAAAAATCTTTCTGAGCATTCTATATTTTTGTTGCACAGTGCAATGATTTGTGTGGAAAAAATTCTGCATACCAGCCCAATGCACATTACATTTTGCATGACGTAAGATTTTGTAAACAGTCCTTTCAGATTGTTACTGTCATAAACTGAATGTGGTCTGCTCTATATAGAGGCCTGCTGTTTACTTGCTCTTTTCAAGTGACCTCAGTTTTTCTCTACTGGCACAGCCAAGTTTAAAGTTGCAAAAAAACAAACAACTTTTATTATTACTGGATTCTTCCACACTCAATAAATATTACACTATCTTTAGAATTCTTTCAAGTGCCAAACTTGTTTCAGTAAAAACAACATCAAATGTAATACTTTCCCAAAATGCAATTTTTTTCATGCCTGTAGATTTAACTGCTCAGTAATTCTGATATGATCTCTGTGTAGGAAACAAATCAGTTTCACAGACATATTTGAATTTGCAATTTGAAAATTACCATTTGCATTCATAGTAGAACTAAAAGTAAAGATCAATCTCAATTGTACAAAGCATGCCAGGTTGGCTTGGTGAAAGACATAGGCCCCATTGACACTTGCAAATGGGGCCGGATTGCTGAGTCTCATGCGATCTCCTTCGGATGGGAGGCACTGTATAAGCCAATGACAGCCACCACTGCCTGCCTGTTTGCAGGCAATTGGTATGTTATCACACATGCTACGATTACATGTGGGTGACTGCACCTTGACCAGTTTTCTTTTTTCAAGTTTTTATCCCCCCTGGTGATCCTGCCTGTAACACACTTCCTGTCCCAGGGTGACAATGTACACTCACTGCACTGTGTCAGAAAGTAGTAAAATATGCAGAAGTAGTAAAAAGGAGTTAATAATAGTGGGCTCACTCCAGTCAATATAGGAAATCCGTTGGCACATGTACCGTATATACTCGAGTATAAGCCGTCCCGAATATAAGCCGAGGTACCTAATTTTAGCAAAAAAAAACTGGGAAAAAGTATTGACCCGAATATAAGCCGAGGGTGGGAAATGAGGCAGCTACTGGTAGATAGATACCATTAAAATACATTAATATTTATTTAAAAGAAAAATTAGTCAACTTTTTTTTATTTGTTTTGAATATAGTAGAGAAGGGTTTATTTTTTGTTGTCTCTGTCCTATTGGGGAGATTTCCCTTCACTCCTTGTACTGGAGAAACAACAGGAAATCAGAGGAAATATCTACAAAATGAGGGTAATTTGCCTCT